TAGTCTTTTATCCCTCGCCAACCCTCACCCTTTCCCGAGTCCCAAAAGTCCAATGTATCATTCTTATGCCTTTGCGTCTTCATAACTTAACTCCCACTTACAAGTGAGAACATACGATGTTTGGTTTTCCATTCCTGAGTTACTTCACTTAGAATAATAGTCTCCAATTCCATCCAGGTTGCTGCGAATGCCATTATTTTGTTCCTTAAAAAAAAAACAAACACCACTCTGATTAGTCATCAGTACTACTTAAGCATATTTCTTTAGTTTGGGGATAGAATATTTTTTCTTTTCCTTTTTTTTCTTTCCTTTTTAAAAATTTGTGTCTGTAACATTGCTTTCCAAAATTCCTGTTAACTGGCTAATTTTAAAGTGTAGTAAAAATATGCTAGCATAATTTCATAGTAGCTTTCATCGCAGTAGGGCTTTGGGATTTTGCTTTTTTTCCTTCGGAATAAAATCTTTGCTATTATTATACCTGAGAATTCTTTTAGTTTGCCACTTACATTGTAAATAATGTAACATTACTTAATCACATTTGTGTTGTTTTTAGAATTGTCATAGCTAGCTAGAGTAACTATAATTATTCTGCCAAGAATTTGAACTTCGAATTCAACGTAAGAGCCTCCTTTCAGCTTAGACTACAAATTAGTGACTTTAGTTTAATACCACATTCTGTTGGTACTTTGTTGAAATTTTCAGTTAAAGAAATCTTCCAAATTAACATTAAATACTAACCCAGGAAAAAAGTTTTAGGAATTTTTCTTATTGGTGGTGGTGGTGGTTTTTCTGTTTTTGTTTTTCTTGAGATGGAGCCTTTTTGTCGTGGGAAACATGCTGAGTCCTCCAGTGACCTTGGTGGGATTTAGGGTAGCCAGACTGAGTTTTCCCGCTGAAGCTGCGGCCCTGAAGGCCATGCTTGGAGACCAAGCCGCTCTAGTTTGATGCTTCCTTCCTTTTCCCTATTTCTTCCTTTCCCCAAGAATGGTGCAGACTTCCTGCTGAGGCCTGTAGTCGGTGGACAGGCATCTCCTGGCCCTTTTCCCAAGAACCTCTTACAGAGCTTGAACTGCAGCTACTCCTCAGAATAACCATTTCTAAAATATGGGCTGGGCACGGTGGCTCACGCCTGTAATCCCAGCACTTTGGGAGGCTGAGGTGGGCAGATTACCTGAGGTCAGGAGTTCGAGACCAGCCTGACCAACATGATGAAACCCCTTCTCTACTAAAAATACAAAAATTAGCTGGGCATGGTGGCGGACGCCTGTATTCCCAGCTACTCGGGAGGCTGAGGCAGGAGAATTGCTTGAGCCCGGGAGACGGAGGTTGCAGTGAGCCGAGATCATGCCATTGCACTCCAGCCTGGGCAACAGAGCGAGACTGTGTCTCAAAAAAAATAAAATATGTGTCTAGTCCCCATCTTGGACACTTCGGATTGGAATCTCTGGGGAAGTATTTTGAAAAATCATCTCATTCCACTCTCTCATTTTCAAACCTGTGTTCTAGAAGCTCTGACACACCCTGAGGTTCAGCGTGCAGTAAGTAGTTAACTGAATATAAAGACAGGGAAGAAAAAGGGGTCTGACAAGTTTTCTACAGATTTGATTGAATAAAGAACTTTAGAAATCGCCCAATACCATCTGCCATTTACTGCTGAGGCAACTACGAGCCAGTCCCAAAAGATAATTGACTTTTCTAAGATGAGAAAATACTAGTACAGAGCCCAAGGTCCTGATTGTGATTTTTTTACCTCTGGTCTATTGTTTCTTTTGTTTATTGGAATGTTTCCCTTTTCTCCTTATGTAGATTATCTAATTAAAATATTTCACTTGTCTCTATACTAGATATATATACAAAAATAATTTTCTTTATTTTTTTGAGACAGAGTCTCACTCTATTTCCCAGGCTGCAGTGCAGTGTTGTGATCTGAGATCACTGCAACCTCCAACTCCTGGGTTCAAGGGATTCTTGTGCCTTAGCCTCCCAAGTAGCTGGGCTTACAGGCATGCGCCACAATGCCCAGCTAATTTTTGTGTTTTTAGTAGAGATGGAGTTTCACCATGTTGGTCAAGCTGGTCTCAAACTCCTGACCTCGTGATCCGCCCACCTCGGCCTCCCAAAGTGCTGGGATTACAGGCGTGAGCCTCCATGCTTGCTAATTTTTATATTTTTCGTAGAAGCAGGACCTAGCTTTGTTGCCCGGCTGTTCTCAAACTCCTGACTTTAGGCAGTCTTCCCACCTCAGCCTTCCAAAGTGTTGGGATTACAGGTGTGAGCCCTGTGCCTAGTCCTTAATTTTTATTAACATAAAATAACTGATAAGCTTAATTTTTATTGAAATAATTTTTAATCGAAAGCTAGTTTTCTTGTTTTAGATTATTACTTCTCAAGATAATGTACCGTTAAGTTAGTTTGATTTGAAGTAAGAGATTTTTGCTTTCCAGAGAAAAACTAGGTTGTTTTTAGGTTTTTTTTTTTGAGACGGAGTCTCGCTTGGTCACCCAGGCTGGAGTGCAGTGGCACGATCTCGGCTCACTGCAACCTCCGCCTCCTGGGTTCAAGCATTTCTCCTGCCTCAGCCTCCTGAGTAGCTGGGACTACAGGTGCACACCACCAGGCCTAGCAAATTTTTTTTTTTTTTTTTTTTGAAACGGAGTTTCACTCTTGTTGCCCAGGTTGGAGTGCAATGGCGTGATCTCGGCTCACCACAACCTCTGCCTCCTGGTTCAAGCGATTCTCCTGCCTCAGCCTCCTGTGTAGCTGGGATTACAGGCATGCGCCACCACACCCAGCTAATTTTGTATTTTTAGTAGAGACGAGTTTTCTCCATGTTGGTTAGGCTGGTCTCGGGATTCCCGACCTCAGGTGATCCACCCGCCTCGGCCTCCCAAAGCGCTGGGACTGCAGGTGTGAGCCACCGCGCCTGGCCATGCCTGGCTAATTTTTGTAGAGATAAGGTTTTGCCACGTTGCCCAGACTGGTCTCAAATGCCTGAACTCAAGCAATCGACCCGCCTTAGCCTCCCAGAGTGCTGGGAGTACAGGCGTGAGCCACCGTGCCGGCTCTGCTCCCTCCCTTTCAGTGAGTCGCCAAGTGATCTTGCTCCTACCTCTACGCTTCTCCTTTCTCTGTCCACTCCCATTCCCATAGTTGGACCCTCATCTCCCCGAGGCTATTGCAGCAAGCCTTCTACCAGGTTTCTCTGCCTCCCACGTTGCCGCCCTTCCCCTAAACTGTCCAACACCATTATGCCATAGTGATAAAGATTTAAAAAATGTTTTTAAACCCCTGGTACCTGTGAACACAGTGATGTTCTTAACGCCTAAATGGAATGATCTCCCTTGCGTACTTGAAGATTTTAGGGGTCCCCATTGTCTATATAATGAAGTCCAAGTGCCCTGGGTGGGCACACAAGGCCTCTCATGACCTGGATGCTTCTCTTTGTCCAGAGTTTCTGTCCAGCTCCATCTGTTGCAGTTCCCCCTTGCGTCCTGCACTCCATCAGAGATGATCTCCTCTAGTTATTTGAATGCTCCGTGAGATCTCTCACTGCCCTCCCTGCCTTAGCACGTTTCTCTGTGCTTTAAATGCGGACCCCTTCTTGACTACCGCTCCCCTCCGACACACAGCAGCCAGCCAGTCAGTTCTTCCTTGGTGCCGCGGAGCGTTTTTTCTCCAGTGTGTTTAAAATTGTGTGTGCTTTTTAGCTTTCTCCACCAGACTAACCTCATACAGAACGAAGGAGTCTTCTTCATTTTAACATTCCCAATGCCTAGCCGAAGCTTTGGCACAGATGGGCATTTAATAAGCGATATGAAACATTGTTGATGAAACTGAGGATTTTAAGAGGAGGAAGCAGTATACTTAATGGAGGGCTGAATGGATCTATCCGAGTTTTAAAATGGCACGTAGGAGACGGATTTGATTACCTGTGTGGCTTTTGATGGCCAACGTTACATTGAGGGAGAAGTAGGCTGCTGGCTGCACTGTAAGATGTGCACAACAGGAACGTGTACAATGACAGTGCCTTCTTCCCCTTGTTGAGAATCGGAGGTTAGACAGGTTGAGTCTTGGTGTGGCCACTAAATTTGGGCTTTTCTGGGTATTAGTTTCTTTGGCTTTTGACAGAAAAAATGGAGATTATACTATGTCTATGGTTATAATAGCTCATAACATTGTTTATTTTAATTTTTGTGGGTACATAGTAAGTGTGTATATTCATGCAGTACATGAGATGGGTGTTTTTTGCTTTTTGGGTTTTTTTTGAGATGGAGTCTCGTTCTGTCACCCAGACTGGAGTTCAGTGGTGCTATCTTGGCTCAGTGTAACCTCTGCTTCACAGTTTTAGGCGATTCCCCTGCCTCAGCCTCTCAAGTAGCTGGGTTTTCAGGCGTCCACCACCACAGCTGGTTAATTTTTGTATTTTTAGTAGAGACAGGGTTTCACCATGTTGGCCAGGCTGGAGTCAAACTCCTGATCTCAAGTGATCCGCCTGCCTTGGCCTCCCAAAGTGGTGGGATTACAGGTGTGAGCCACTGCACCCATCCTGGGGTACACTGCATGTTTTGATACAAACAGGCCATGCCTAATTATCACATCATGTAAAATGGGGTATCTGTTCCACTCAAAACATTTATCCATCCTTTGTGTTACAAATGATTCAGTTATACTCTAGTTATTTAAAAATGTACAATTAAATAGTTGTTGACTATAGTCACCCTATTGTGCTATCAAATACTGGACCAACTATAGAAATGATCCTGGAAAGTACAGTCTTGCTCATAACGTTGTTTTGAGGATTAAATGAAGTAATATCTCAGGGTGCCTAGGCTAATGCATAGCATTGAATAAGGCTTAATAAATGTTGATCGAATTTGAGTTAGTCTCCTGTTTCTGGATGCTTTTAGTAAAATGTTACTTTCATGTTAAATATAAGTTACATGTGTGCATAAACTGACACCAGTAACAAAGAGATTCAGTTGCCTTTTCTTCTTCCAAAGGTTTATTCATTGTACTGATGATTCTCCAGATCCATGTATAGAATATGAGGTAAGAAGCTTATTTTCCTTGATAATCGTAGATGAAGATGTGTTGAGAATTGCTATTTATTCTTAAGTGAAATGAAACAAATGAAGTTTCTTGGATTAATTTCTTTGGGAACCTAAAGCCACTGAAATTTTAAATTTATGAAATATACACATAAAAGGATATATATTATATATAGAATATATACACTAAATATATGTATGCAGTATACACTTGCTACAGGATATATGCAGACACCTTTAACAAAACAAACATCTTTTTACGCCTCACAGCTGCACCTCATTGTTTCAGCATTTTACCATTTTTTATATTGTTCACTCACCTTACAAATAACTTATAAGAGGTTAGGCCAGGCACAGTGGCTCATGCCTGTAATTCCAGCACTTTAAGAGGCCGAGGTGGGCAGATCATCTGAGGTCAGGAGTTCGAGACCAGCCTGGCCATCATGGCGAAACCCCACGTCTCTACTAAAAATACCAAAGTTCTCTGGGCATGGTAGTGGTCGCCTGTAATCTTAGCTACTCGGGAAATTGAGGCTGAAGCATTGCTTGAACCCAAGAGGTGGAGGTTGCGGTAAGCTGAGATGGTGCCATTGCACTCCAGCCTGGGTGGCAAGAGTGAAGCTCTGTCTCAAAAAAAAAAGAGGATAGTGAAAAAACAACTTCATTAGAAATTTTGATGAGTTTAAATGTAGTAAACCTCAATTTTTATTCCAAATTTTCCTAGTTTTGAAAGTACACACACAAAACACACACACATACCCTGATCTGCACCAGGTTCTTAGCTACAACTAACTGCTCATCAACTGTCGTGAATGGATCCGAAAGATAACTTTTTTTTTTTTTTTTTTTTGAGACACAGTTTTGCTCTGTTGCCTAGGCTGGAGTGCAGTGGCACGATCTCAGCTCACTGAAACCTCCACCTCCTGGACTAAAGCAATTCTCCTGCCTCAGCCTCCCGAGTAGCTGGGATTACAGGTGTGCACCACCACCACCCAGCTAATTTTTGTATTTTTGGTAGAGACTGGGTTTCACCTTGTTGACCAGGATGGTCTCGAACTCCTGACCTCAAGTGAAACGCCTGCCTCAGCCTCCCACAATGCTGGGATTACAGGTGTGGGCCACTGCGCCCGGCCCAACTTTCTTCTAAATGCAGACTCCACGTTTCAGCTCTCATTCCTGGTCCTTCTTGCACTTGCATTGTCAAAATGCAAACTTTCCAAAACTTTGACAACTCATAGTTTGTTGAAAAGAGAATGGTCATCTTTGCTCCATAATTGCATTTTTACATTTACCTGAAAATTACCTTTCATTTTTGGTCTTGTAACACCAATTCAAATTAGTGCAGTAATTTAAAAATTATCTTTAGTGTCTGTTTGCTTCTAGCTACTTTTGTACGTATGTACACATGCTTTCAAAATTGGTCTGTTGACTCACTGCGTTGAGTAATTTTTAATGTGTTGACTGTAGATAGACTTCTCTTTTAGGATTATACCGTATGCATGGAGCAGTTAATTTACTAGTTAAGTGACTTCTTACCAATTACTAGATCTTAGAGTGCTTGTAGGTGAGATTCTTACATACAACTTGTGAGATTTTTTTTCCCTCTTATATACTTAATAGCATAGTGTGAGCATTTTCCCAGCTTATTAAACACTTCTATAACTTTAAATAATATAGTCATAGCTATTGCTTCACGCAACAAACAACTATTAAAGAAATCATTTCCTTAGCCTTTCTCTGAGGCACAGTCTTTTTAAAGAAGTCAACATCTACCTCCAAGATTTATTTACCAGCAGTTTGCTCTCTTACTGCTATTTTGAAAGGCACCATTATCATGTGTATAAGATTTAAAACCCAGTTTTAAAAGTGTAGGAAAGTGATACTCTTCAAGTAATTCAAATGAAAAATGTTGCAAGTAGAATCCTGTGTATTGTTTTATCCTGTCTGTGTGTATTTAAAATACACACACACACACACACACTCTCTCTCTCTCTCTCTCTCTCTCTCTCTCTCTCTCTCTCTCTCTCTTTATATATAGTTATGTATTCGTAGGATAAATCTGGAAAGATGCACAAGAAACCTATAGCACTGGTTGCCTCTGAGGAGAAAGACAGAGGGACAGGGTGGGGGAGAGAGAGAAACTCCCTATGCCCTTCTGTGTTTTGTGAAAATCAACCAGAGTGTATGTATTACCTATACAAAATAGTATTTTGATAAACATTATGCAAATTTTCCAGTAAATTGTGTGCTACAATTGCTTATTTATTTGTTGCTAAGTAAAACCACTGTAGCCTCTCTCTCTCTCTCTCTCTATATATATATAAAAGTATGTATGTATATGCCTGTATGGGCTTTTAATAGGAACTGTGTAATATTTTAGTGTCAGATCCATTTAATAATTACATTTTTTAAAAAAAATCAGATAATAAGGCTTGACTAAGAGCTTATAATAAATGAAAAATGAAATCAGTGCATTTAAAATTTCTAAGGCATGTTTTAAACGTTTTTTTAAATACATAAAATGTCCCACCTGAAATTTTCCTGATTTTTAAGATAAGAAACTTATTACTATAGTATATGAGAGTTTATATATATTAAATAATTATTAATTACAGTAATAAGACCCATTTGTGATTTGGGCCAAGGGTAGAATTGATTGACTAAAATATTGAGAAAATAGAGAGTTGTTTTGGTGATTCATTGTGACAAACCTCAATAATAATTATATCAAAGTAAGGATTACCTCTTGGTACTTAAGGTAGACAAGTTTAGAATTATTTTATTTTATTTTATTTTTGAGATAGCGTCTTGCTCTGTTGCCCAGGCTAGAGTGCAGTGATGCAGTCTCAGCTCCCTGCAGCCTCTGCTTCCTGGGTTCAAGTGATTCTCATGTCTCAGCCTCCCTAGTAGCTGGGGCTACAGGTGCCTGCCACCACGCCTGGCTAATTTTTTGTATTTTTAGTAGAGATGGAGTTTCACCATGTTGGCCTGGCTGATCTCGAACTCCTGACCTCAGGTGATCTGCCCGTCTCAGCCTCCCAAAGTGCTGGGATTACAGGAGTGAGCCACTGCACCTGGCTGGAATTACTTTATTATTTGATCTTCCTCAAGGGGTGCAGAACATATGAATGGACATATGACACTGTGGTGAAAAGATGTAACTACGTTCTTGATGGTGTGCTTGTATGTCAGAACTCTCAATGGCAGCTACCTGACAAGGATGCATTTTGTCATAGAATTTTAGCACAATTTTCTTGCAGTTATTAGAATAATAGATCACAACTCTATTCCCTACATCTCATGTTAAAATTTTTTTTTTTTTTTGAAATGGAGTTTCACTCCTGTTGTCCAGGCTGGAGTGCAATGGCGTGATCTTTACTCACTGCAACCTCCGCCTCCTGGGTTCAAGTGATTCTCCTTCCTCAGCCTCCTGAGTAGCTGACAGGCATGTGCCACCATGCCCAGCCAAGAATGTTATATGATGCCTCTTTTTTAAAAACCATTTGATAATGGCAATCATTAAGATACAGTGTTGACCTAAAATTGCCTAGTAGACCTTACCATATGGTTGTGTTATATTAAATATTTTGTCCTTTGTCTACAGCTTGTTCTCCGAAAATGGTGTGAATTGATTCCTGGCGCTGAGTTTCGATGTTTTGTCAAGGAAAACAAGCTTATTGGTGAGTTTTTTTTGTTTGTTTTATCCTTGAAAGTCGTCTTTAAAAGAAGACAAGCTTTTGTTGGAAGTAAATTTCCAGTAATTAGGGCTGGGATGTCAATCTGTTTTCATCTCAGATGCCACCTCTAACCAGTTGATACTGACTCTCTGGAATGCCGTGTTGACAGGAATCCCGAGCCCAGATTCACTTGCCACAGGAAACGGTGTTGTCAGATAATCATGGCTGGCTGGATTCCAGAGATAAAAGTGGTGGTTGTCACTCTTCCTGATTTAGGAATCAGGAACTCTGTATGGAATTTTCCTAAACGGTACTTAGCAATAGTCTGCTTATTTTAAGCGTCATAAAAAGTCAAGTTTTGGAACCTTTATTTCTATTATTGGAGCACTATTTATTATTCTAGCAAAAGAAAATATGTGGACAAGTAAGTGTATTCTTCTAAGACACCCATTTTCTTTCCTCTCAGGTTACTATTTTGTTTGCTATGATTTATTTACGTTAAATATTGAAGATAATTCGTTCTTTATTTTGTTTAGTGTGTTTTCCATGAAGCAAAATTTATCTTCAACCTAGAAAAGTGTAATTTGAATACAATCAAATCAGCAGTATTGATTCATTGAATGTGATGTTGAAATGTGTTAACCCACCTGAAAGAAAGTTGGGGTGTTCGCATTTCTCGTATTGCTCGATGTTCCTGGGGAAGCTGCAGTGTAGGTGCTCTAAAGGAGGGGATCCTGTTGGCACATGATTGAGGAGTAGGAAGCCCGAATTTCAGAGCACAGAACTTTTCCCTAGGACCGGAGCAAATTCAGGGAGTTTGTGTAATAGTCCCGTTAGTGTGTTTGGACTCATGTCAGCAAGTCACTCTGAAAAAAGGAATGTTTACTTTTCCATGGCTTGAACGAGCAGGCTGTGAAGGCCAAGTAGCACGTATGAACAAGAAAAATAGACTGCTTCTAGGCAATACAGTATGAATATGGCAGGCGTCTGGTGAAGAATGATATTTTCCCAAAGAAAGTGGAAGAGTGTACCAATTTGCAGAGACTTCTTTGGAGGAAATCAAAGCAGCAGCAGTTGATTACGTGTGGGGCTTAGAATTGCTGCTTTAATGTTTTACATAACAAGACTTTTTGTGACTTCGAATTCCTTCCATTTTACTAAATGAAAATAACTGTTTCCATGGGCTAGGTGCTGTGGCTCACACCTGTAATCCCAACAGTTTGAGAGGCCAAGGCTGGAGGATTGCTTAAGGCCAGGAGTTCAAGACCAGCCTGGGCAATGTACTGAGACCCCCGTCTCTACAAAAAATAAAACGATGAGCCAGGCATGGTGGCACATGCCTGTAGTCCCGGCTACTCGGGAGACTGAGGTGTGAGGGTCGCTTGAGCTCAGGAGGTGGAGGTTGTAATAAGCTATGATTGTGCCACTGTACTCCAGCCTGGGCAGCAGAATGAGACCCTGTCTCTAAAAGAAAAAAGAAAAAAAGAAAAAAGGCCGAGTGTGGTGGCTTACACCTGTAATCCCAGCACTTTGGGAGGCCGAGGTGGGTGGATCATGAGATCAAATTCAAGGCCAGCCTGGCCAAGATGGTGAAACACCATCTCTGCTAAAAAAAAAATTAGCCAGGCATGGTGGCAGGCGTCTGTAATCCCAACTACTCGGGAGCTGAGGCAGGAGAATCGCTTGAACTCGGGCAGCAGAGGTTGCAGTGAGCCGAGATCGTGCCACTGCACTCCAGCCTGGGCAATAGAGTGAGACTCTGTCTCAAAAAAAAAAAAAACAGTAAATTCTTCCAGAAGTGAGAAGACATGGCAGTGTAGGACTTCAGGATTCACCTGTTCATATGAATCCTTACAGCTGGGTTTTGTGTAATGCAGTACCCATCCGGGTGATCTTCTAATCTACTTTAATGGTTCTTTCCACAAAATGTTTAAATCACGTATTGATGTTTTTGAAAAGAATATTGTATAGTAACAGAATGTAAAATATTTTCTTGTCAGGTATTTCTCAAAGAGACTACACACAATACTATGATCATATTTCTAAACAAAAGGAAGAAATTTGCAGATGTATACAAGACTTTTTCAAGAAACACATACAGTACAAATTCTTAGATGAAGACTGTGAGTATTTTTTTATTGATCCAGTAAAATGAAATGAAATATACAGTGTTGCTGGTCCTTATTTACTATGGTGTATATCCTAATAACTAGATTTGAAATACTGTATTTTAAGCATTTTACTATATTATTATTTGTTATTTTTGATAGTTTGTATGTTAATTTCTTCTTATTATTATGATTTTTTTATTTGGAGACAGTCTCACTCTGGCACCCAGGCTGGAGTGCAGTAGTACGATCTTGGCTCACGCAGCCTGCATATCTCGGGTTCAAGTGATTCTCTTGCCTCAGTCTCCCAAGTAGCTGGGGCTACAGATGCACGTCACCACACCCGGCTAATTTTTTGTATGTTTAGTAGAGATGGAATTTCGCCACGTTTGCCAGGCTGGTCTTGAGCTCCTGGCCTCAAGTGATCCGTCTACTTCAGCCTCCCAGTGTGCTGGGATTACAGGTGTGAGCCATTGCACCAGCCATGTTAATTTCATCTTACTTAACTAAAATCTATTTTTACTGCAAAGTCAGTTCCCCCTCTTATTTTAGATGTTTGATTGTGTATTTCAAAGGGGCTGTCTACAGAGAACAAAGTCCATCTACCTTTCCAGCTTCTCTGAATGATCAAAGACAGCACCAGTTACAAAGTAAACATTTGTGGGTGGTTTTTAGGAATTGAAAGTATATTGTGTGAGAGTTTTCATACATCTGAAAATTATATCTGCTATGATTGACATTTTCTCTACTTGCCAAGACTGGGCTCTGTGGCAGATTTGATTTAAAATAAGATGAATCATGCTTCAGGCCTCATTCGATTTTCTGCTTTCTATTATAAGCTTTGCTCATTGCATTCTCCCGGATCAGTGATTGATGCCCCTTTCACCAGTACTTTGCTCAGTGACTCCTCCCGTCATTCCCATAGAACCGGTCTATGATGGGGAACTGGTTGAGATGATGTTGGTGTTTGGTTTGAATTTTTTAAATATAGGGGATTATGGTTGGGGAACAGAGAACAGTAAAGCAAAGTTACATAACTAAAACATGGCAGGATGCCTTTTTATGTTTGAAGTTTTGAGATTTAGAAGCATTAAGTCCTCAGGGTCATTTATATTCTGTTGTCTTTGATTAAAACATACTTTAATTTTCAAAAGGAGATTTACATCATGAAATATTAGTTCATTAATAACGGACTTTTTTTCTCCTTTACAGTTGTGTTCGATATATACAGAGACAGTAGGGTAAGTAAAAACTCTGTCTGATATGCTTTAAAATAAGAGCTGGTTTTATAAGCCGGCAGAGCATGCCTTTGCTATGTGTGTGAAGGATCTACTGCTCAAAAAATATTTTGTCTGGGTGCAGCAGCTCACGCCTATATTCTCAGCACTTTGGGAGGCTGAGGCAGGGACATCATTTGAGCTCAGGAGTTTGAGACTAGCCTGGGCAACATAGTGAGACCTCATCTCTACTAAAAATAAAAAAAATCAGCCCAAGCCAGTTACAGTGGCTCACCCCTGTAACCTCAGCACTTTGGGAGGCTGAGGCGGGAGGATCACTTGAGGTCACGAGTTCGAGATCAGCCTGGCCAACATGGTGAAACCCCATCTTTACTAAAAATACAAAAAAATGAGCCAGGCATGGTGGCGGGTGCCTATAATCCCAGCTACTCAGGAGGCAGAGGTTGCAGTGAGCCAAGATCGCGCCATTGCGCTCCAGCCTGGGCAACAGAGCAAGACTCTGCCTCAAAAGAGAAAAATAAAAAAATATCCGGGCCTGGTGGTGTGTGCCCAGTTATGCAAGAGGCTAGCCGGGAGGATCACTTGAGCCCAGGAATTCACGGCTGCAGTGAGCCTTTATTGCGCCACTGCTCTCCAGCCTGGGTGACAGAGTGAGACCCCATCCCCTCCTCAAAATTTTTTTTTTTTCCTCACACCAACTAAGGTGTTTGAAGTTCACCATGGTCAAAAATCTCCCCTTAAAATATACCTAACATTAGGGGACTTAATACCTGAAATCATTGTGTACCATGATTTAGGGATTCTTTATCGAGCCGGTCGGTAAATGGGCACCTTCCATCCTACTTCTCATTTGTGTCAGAGGTCAGGGTCTGCTTAAAATAGTTCAGTTTGCACACTTAAATGTGGCCAGGAGTTGGTCACTTGATATTTATATAATTATTTTGGCCGGGTGCGGTGGCTCAGGCCTGTAATCCCAGCACTTTGGGAGGCCAAGGCAGGCAGATCACCTGAGATGGGGAGTTCGAAACCCACCTGACCAATATAGAAAAACCCCGTCTCTACTAAAAATACAAAATTAGCCGGGCACGGTGGCACATGCCTGTAATCCTAGCTACACGGGAAGCTGAGGCAGGAGAATCGCTTGAACCGGGAGGTGGAGGTTGCAGGAAAGTGATGAAAACTTCTGTAAGGAAAAAGTTAAAGTGACTTATTAGTAAACTTACGTACTGCTGACTTAATGAAGAATTACTACAGCAGAGATTTCACTGCCCAAGACATGTCATCTTTATTAAGAAGTTTAAGTCACTAAATGCTGTTTGGTGCTGAGTGCTCTTTGACATTGTGAAGAAGCTAGCAGATGAGTTTTCCTGTGTGTCACTAACACACGAGCAAAATATTTCTCACTCTCCCTCTGTGCTTAGATCAGCCTCATTGTAAGTGAGACAGTCATTTGATCTGAATCACCTGTGGACATCTTTGAATCATCTTTGAACAAAAAGATATGGCCCATATGGTCATGTCCCAGAATAACTGTTAACTGTTCATTTGACTCTTAACGTCAGAAGACATCACTCTATTTTCACCTCATTGTCTTCAAAGATGATGGTGTCTGTTAAGAGTTACTAGAAAGAGGGGCTTTAGGCCATTGTGGTGGCTCACGCCTGTATTTTCAGCACTTTGGGAAGCTGAGGTGGGAGGATGGCTTGAGCCCAGGAGTTCGAGATCAGCTGGGCTGAACATAGTGAGACCTCGTCTCTACGTAAAAATGAGCCAGGTGTGGTGGTTTGTGCCTCCAGCCCCGGCTCCTCCCGGGAGCTGAGTTGGGAGGATCGCTTGAGACTGGGAGGTTGAGGCTGCAGTGAGCCATGATTGTAACTGTCATGCCTATCAGTGTACACCAGGTTGTGTCTGGTCTTCTGCAGACTGCCATGGTGAATAATCCCGTACGTGTGTCATTTCCCACGCTGCAGGTGAATCTACAGGGTGAATTCCTAGAAGCGGGATTGCTGGCTCAAAAGTGAAATGTATTTTAATGTTGACAGATACTGCAGTTTACCCTCGCTAGAGGTTACACCTGACCAGATCCCCCCGGGAATGCATCAGAGTACCTGCAGGCTTCCTCAGAGCTTGCCATTACAATATAGGGTCACGCTCTTCAGGGTTTTGGGATTTCATAGAGAAATGATGTCTCAGTATACTTTCTATTTCTATTTTTCTTAGTAAATGAGGATGAAGTTTATCTTTTCATATATTTAAGGGTCGTTTCTATGAACCATTGTTTCATGTCTTTTTCACTTTTTTCTATTATTGTCCTCAAAGTAGAGGCACTGTTTAGGTATTACAGAGGCCTTTGTCATTGGTCTTTTCCTGTGAACAAGATCACATATATTATTTGCTTCTTTTCTGGCTTTTGAATTTTAGCCATCATTTAAAAAAATACTTCCCCATGGTTTTTGTCTAGTTCTTTTGTAGTTTCTTGCTCTCCATTTCAATATTGGGTCTGTTTGGTGTTTGTTCCTTTGCGTGTTTGGTATGCGGTATGGATCCCCCTTAGTCTTTTTGTCTGCACCAATATTTTTATATTTATATTAGACTGTCCTTCAGATTGATGATGATTTCCCAAGTTCTTAGGGCGTTAATCCCTGTTGCGTTTGCAGACTCTCGTTCGGGCCGGTGGTTTCTTTTTTGTTTTGTAAATCAGTTTATTTTACTTTGAGTTCGTCTTCATGAGCTCGTCCTTTTGTTTATGAGAATCCCAAAGATCCTAAATTTTGGATTTTTCATTTGCTTCTACCATGTTCCCCAAAACTTATTCAGAGGACAATGTCATTGTCTCCTGCCCCTCCATTAGAACTGTCTCCTCACACCCCTTTCCTGAGGCTGTGGCCTTCTGGAGTTGGCGTCTGAGTTCTGATTGCCTTCCCGTGGCCAGTCTGCTAGGAGACCCTCCCACAGGTTCCCACGGCACTAGAGTTGATTCGTTTAGTTCTGTTCTTCGGGTTCCTCTTGTTTCTGGCCCCTGGGGATTTCCCGGTCTTTTTCATAATCTCAATTACACTTTTAAAGGGCGTGTCATAGCATGTGTTTCATCCTGTTTGCAATAGCAGGCCTTGAGAATTACCATAGCTGGCTGTGTTTCTGGAGCCCTCACATACCTCACACTCCAGCCAAAATAACCTGTTCCCACAACGGGCGGTCGTGGCGTGGCCTCTGCACATGAGAGCCGCCGTTCTTGTTAAGTGGTCCGCTTTTCCTGCCAACACCACCCTCCTCCCAGAGCATTGCTGTTATCCCTCAGGTGCCCAGGTCCTTTGGGAAGCGTTTCCAGCCTTCCCTCGCACATGTAAGCACACTCTCCTTTGCGCCTCTCCACTCTCACAATTCCCTGTTCTTGCCTCTCTCGAAGCAAAATACCCTGCACATTGCCATTGCTGGATGGTTTTTGGTTCTGTTTTGGGGAGGAGATGTGTGTTCTGCTCAAGCCTGAGCTCTTGGAAGGAATCGATTCTGTGTTACGATCTTCATACCCTAGTGCCTGACACAGTGTCTGGTCCCTACAAGCTGATCGGATCAGAGGGACAGTCAGTTGGTACAAGGACAGTTAGTCCAACTGCTCTTTGCTTATTGGATTGCCTCAAAGCAGAATTAACTTCTCAGGCTGTTTTTGCTTGAGATGTCATGTGAAAACATGTTATGGCCGGGCGTGGTGGCTCACGCCTGTAATCCCAGCACTTTAGGAGGCTGAGGCAGGCAGATCACCTGAGGTCAGGAGCTCAAGACCAGCCTGGCCAACATGGTGAAACCCCATCTCTACTAAAAATACAGAAATTAGTCAGGCACAGTGGCAGGTGCCTGTAATCCCAGCTACTTGGGAGGCTGAGGCAGGAGGATCACTTCAGCCCAGGAGGAGGAGGTTGCAATGAGCTGAGATCACGCGACTGTACTCACAAAAACAGAGCAAGACTCTGTCTCAAAAAAAAAGTTATGGCTGGGCGCGGTGGCTCACACCTGTAATCCCAGCACTTTGGGAGGCTGAGGTGGGCAGATCACGAGGTCAGGAGATTGAGACCATCCTGGCTAACACGGTGAAACCCCGTCTGTATTTTTAGAAAATGCAAAAAACTAGCCGGGTGTGGCGGCGGGCGCCTGTAGTCCCAGCTACTTGGGAGGCTGAGGCAGGAGAATGGCGTGAACCCGGGAGGCGGAGCTTGCAGTGAGCCGAGATCACGCCACTGCACTCCAGCCTGGGCAACTGAGCGAGACTCTGTCTCAAAAAAAAAAAAAAGTTATAAAATCTCGATCCTGATCCTCCTACTTTATTAAAGCCTGATTATAGCTGGGTTTTTTTACTTCCTCATTTTTTTGTACTAGAGGATAGCTTGTGAGCTACAGAGTACACTGCCAATTAAAGTGGTGGTTTGTTTTCATTTAAAAATGTGTTTTGGGCCGGGTGCAGTGGCTAATGCCTGTAATCTCAGCACTTTAGGAGGCCAAGGTGGGCGGATCACCTGAGTTTAAGAATTGGAGACCAGCCTGACCAACATGGTGACACCCAGTCTCAACCAAAAATAGAAAATTAGCTGGGTGTGGTGGCGCATGCCTGTAGTCCCAGCTCCTTGGGAGGTGGAGGCAGGAGAATTGCATGAACCCAGAAAGGGGAAGTTGTGGTGAGGTGAGATCACACCATTGCACTCCTGCCTGGGCCACAAGAGTGAAACTGTGTCTCAGGAAAAAAAAGGAAAAAATGTGTTTTGGTTTTTTGCATTGTGGCATATTCCTATTTTTAAAGATGTGATTGTTTAAAAAAAATAATGAGTTCGTTTTACTGATTATAAAAAGCCAAGTAGAGGCTGAGCACAGTGGGTCACACCTGTAATCCCAACACTTTGGGAGACGAAGCCAGGCCGATCATGAGGTCAGGAGATGGAGACCGGATATCCTGACTAACACTGTGAAACCTCGTCTCTACTAAAAATACAAAAAATTAGCCAGGTGTGGTGGTGGACGCCTGTAGTCCCAGCTACTCGGGAGGCTGAGGCAGGAGAATCACTTGAACCTGGGAGGCAGAGGTTGCAGTGAGCAGAGATCACGCCACTGCACTCCAGCCTGGGTGACAGAGAGAGACTTTGTCTCAAAATAAATAAATAAATAAAATAAAAAGTCAAGTAGAAAGGGTTTGGAAGTTAGAAAATATCCATTTTGTTATCATGACATATATTGAAGACATCTTAGCAGTATTCGCCAAAATGAAGTTGACATCATTACGAAGAAGTTGTTTGATGGCTGATACTGTTTCACATAGTTCCAGGAATGAAGAAGTGGGTGCTGAATGGAGATGAGGAAACAACTCAAGCAGTGAGAGAGATTTGCAGGGCATCTCCTGGGGCTCGTAGAAAACGAGGAACTTACCCAACTGGGTGTGCTGAAAGCATCCTGCGACAGGCTTGTGCCACTTACTAGAAGTTCTGGAATTTGAAGCAAGTCCTAATAAGATGTTTCATCTTTCTTAACATTTTGCTCTCGCTCAGCTGAGAAGCAGCACCAGATATTAGGCATGCTGGCTCAGCGGTCTTGGTGCTTGGAATTTCATGCACACACACCCGCTCAGGACCTGGCAGCAACACATTTATAGAAAAAAAACATTCATTGTTAACCAAACGGTGCAAATGTATGAATGTTTCAGTGGGAAAAGGTTTATCTTTGCTCCATCCACTTTGTGTCAATAGGTGTTCGTGATCAGATGCTGTGGCCGTCATTCCTGGCGGCGTGGCCCATGCGCCCCTGCTCTCTGTGTGTCAGTACTGGCTGTTTTCTGCTCAGAGGCCAACCTCCCCTTCATATGCTGTCAAGCTCTATTCTACAGACTTACTACATTCACATAGAAAGAAAACAGCATCTTCAGGCTGGGCAGGGTGGCTCACAGGGAGGCCAAGGCGGGAGGACATTTGAGGTTAGGAGTTTGAGACCAGACCATGGCCACCATGGTAAGACCCTATCTCTAGTAAAAATACAGAAATTAACCAAGCATAGTGGCGCATGCCTGTAATCCCAGCTACTCGGGAACTGAGGCAGGAGAATCACTTGAACCTAGGAGGTGGAGGTTGCAGTGAGCCAAGATCACACCACTGTACTCCAGCCTGGGCAACAGAGTGAGATTCTCAAAAAAAAAAAAAAAAAAAAAAAAAAAAAAAAAAAAAAAAAAAAACTTGCAAATGGAAAAAAAAAAAAAATCCATTCTTGGCAGCAGACCTTCCTGAGTCAGAAGCGCTGCTCTCTGGAGCCGCAGGCACTGCCTGGCTCTGTCTGGCTTCCCCTGAACGGAGCACTGAAGGCTCCAGGAAGGCGCTTTAGTCAGACTGCAGACCCTAAGCCTTTGGGTGACCGTTCCCTTTCCTGCTGGAATTTTTTTTTTTGGGAGACACAGTCTTGCTTTGTCACCCAGGGTAGATGGAGCGCGTGTTGTGATCACGGCTCACAGCAGCCTTGACCTCCTGGGCTCAAGTGATCCTCGGCGCTTTAGCTCGTGACTGCAGACCCTAAGCCTTTGGGTGACTGCGCCTCTTCCTGCTGGAATTTTTTTTTGGGAGACACAGTCTTGCTTGTCACCCAGGGTAGATGGAGCGCGTGCTGTATCACGGGCTCACAGCAGCCTTGACCTCCTGGCTCAAGTGATCCTCTACCTCAGCCCCCCTGAGTAGCTGGCGACCACAGGCGTGTGCCGCCACATTCAGCTAATTTTTTTTTTTTTGTCGCCAGGCTGGAGTTCAGTGGCGCAATCTCGGCTCACTGCAAGCTCCACCTCCCAGGTTCACGCCATTCTCCTGCCTCAGCCTCCTGAGTAGCTGGGACTACAGGTGACCGCCACCACGCCTGGCTAATTTTTTGTATTTTTAGTAGAGACAGGGTTTCACCATGTTAGCCAGGATGGTCTCGATCTCCTGGTCTCGTGATCTACCCGTCTCGGCCTCCCAAAGTGCTGGGATTACAGGCGTGAGCCACCGCGCCCAGCCTCAGCTAATTTTTATATATTTTTCTGTAGAGATGGGGTTTCACCATGTTACCCAGGCTGGTCTTGAACTCCTAAGCTCAAGTGATCTGTCTGCCTCAGGCTCCCAAAGTGCTGGGATTATAGGTGTGAGCCTCTGCGCCTGGCCCTGCTAGAATCTTTGACTTAAAATTCCATATGGCTTGAGGCTGGAGTTGGAACGTATCTCTTAGGCAGAGCTTTTCTGGGTCCCTTCTCTCTAAATTCACAGGGGACCCTCCCTTTAGATCTCTGTCCACTCTATTCAGACAGGCGGCCCTTTCTCAGATGGTACCTAGAGGGATGATCTTTTGAAATAAGTGAGATTTTTAAGATTACAATAATATGAAGAATATCTTTCTGGCCAGGTGACGTGGCTCATGTCTATAATCCCAGCACTTTGGGAGGCTGAGGTGAGAGGATCGCTTGAACCCAAGAGTTCAAGACCAGCCTGGGCAACATGGCGAGACCCTGTCCTCTAAGAAAACACAAAAATTAGCTGCATGTGGTGGCGCATGCCTGTAGTCCCAGGTACTCAGGAGGCTGAGGCAAGAGGATCCTTTGAGCCCAGGAGGTCGAGGCTGCAGTGAGCCGTGATCACACCACTGCGCTGCAGCCTGGGCAACAGCATGAGAGCCCGTCTCAGAATAAAAACACGTTTCTTTCTCAGAAGATAGAGTACAGACTGTGTTTGTTTTTGTTTTTTCTCTCTCTGTGCTACAGGGGAAGGTGTGGCTCATTGATTTTAATCCATTTGGCGAAGTCACAGATTCACTGCTGTTCACCTGGGAAGAACTGATATCTGAGAACAACTTAAACGGTGATTTTAGTGAAGTAGATGCTCAAGAGCAGGTAAGACATTTTTAAGATAGATACAACATAAACCTTTTCAGTCTACTGACTGACCGCTTGTTCTGCAGACGCACAGGTAGGCGGAATGGCCAGGACCCTGGGGAAGCGCAGAGTGTAACACAGCTTTCCTGGTAGCTAACTTCCCCGTGGTCGTGGTCAAAGAGGCGGGCACCACTTAACTTTATTACAGAAGTCAGGATCATCTGATCCGTTTTTTCAGTTCCTTTTCTGAGCTGCTTCTGTCACACCCAACCTGGAGGAATCTTGGCCCCAGATCAGCTCATGCATCTGTTCCTTGTGACCGCATCGCCAGCTGCTGAGGCTGACGGAGAAGTTACATATGTGCAGACCAGCGGGTTCCTGTCAGCTTTCTCCTCCATTTCCACGGTGACTGGTTCACGCCTTGACGCTTCTCAGTCTCCCATCAGTCCTTCCTTCCTCTCAGTGGATGATTTAACATCCTCTTTCCAGGAAAAGGGAACCCACTGATGAGAGAATTCCCTCAGTTGATTTCTCATCACACCTACAAGCTCGTCCATCCCTTCCTGAGTCTGATCTCCCACTTGGGACACTGTGTCCTCCTCTCTCTCCAGCTGCCCTCTGCTCTTTTTCCAATTCTTCCTCTCCACCAACTCTATCCGTCCGGATTTAGTCATGTTCAGATACCTCCCATCCGAAAAAAGCAAAACATTGTTCAATCCGGTTTCTTCACCCAGCCACTCTCCCCTTTCCTGTCAGCTTCACAGCCAAACTTTAATCTTTAAACAACTTTGTAGTGCTGTTTTCTGCCCGTAAAAGTAACATGCTCATTCTTAAAGAAAATTTTAAAATCAGCTATGACTCTACCACCTTGAGAACCAGTGTTTATATTTTGGTATATAATATGCATTTAAACACATACATAGACCTTTGTAAATAAATGAGATCATACTACGTACACAATTACATGTCCTGAGATTTTCACAGTGTTCTCTTGTGAGCATTTTATATCTTTTAAAAAATAGTTTTGGGCCAGACGTAGTGGCTTACACCTATAATTCCAGCACTTTGGGAGGTCGAGACTGGTGGATCACCTGAGGTCGGGAGTTCGAGACCAGCCTGGCCAACATGGTGAAACTCCGTCTCTACTAAAAATACAAAAAATTAGCCGGGCCTCGTGGCGGGTGCCTGTAATCCCAGCTACTTGGGAGGCTGAGGCAGGAGAGTTACTTGAACCTGGAAGGTAGAGGTTGCAGCAGTGAGCCGAGATCACACCATTGCACTCCAGCTTGGGTGACAGAGCAAGACTCCATCTCAAAAAAAAAAAAAACCGGCCGGGTGCAGTGGCTCATACCTGTAATCCCAGTACTTTGGGAGGCCGAGGCAGGTGGATCACCTGAGGTTGTGAATTCAAGACCATCCTGACCAACATGGAAAAACCCGTCTCTACTAAAAGTACAAAAATTAGCCGGGCGTGGTGGCGCATGCCTGTAATCCCAGCTACTCAGGAGGCTGAGGCAGGAGAAACGCTTGAGCCCAGGAGGCACAGGTTGTGGTGAGCCAAGATCACTCCATTGCACTCCAGCCTGGGTAACAAGAGTGAAACTTCGTCTTAAAAAAAAAAAAATTAGTTTTGGCAGCTAGGCATGATGGTTCATGCCTGTAATCCTAGCACTTTGGGAGGCTGAGGCAGGCAGATCACCTGAGGTCAGGAGTTTGAGACCAGCCTGGCCAACATAGTGAAATCCCCATCTCTACTAAAAATACAAAAATTGGCCGGACGTGGTGACGCATGCCTGTAATCCCAGCTACTCAGGAAGCTAGAGTGGGAGAATCACTTAAACCCGGGAGGCAGAGGTTGCAGTGAGCAACAGAGACCTGGGCAACAGAGATTGTGCCCCAGCACTGCACTCCAGCCTGAGAGCAGAGCGAGACTTTGCCTCAAAAAAAAAAAGAGAAAAAGAAAATAGTTTGGGCTGGGTGCAGCAGCCCACCGAGCCTGTAATCTTAACACTTGGGGAGGCCAAGGCAGGAGGATTGCTTCAGCTCAGGAGATCAAGACCAGCCTGGGCAACATACGAGACCTTGTCTGTACTAAAATTTTAAAAACTCAGCTAGGTGTGGTGGCGCATGCCTATAGTCTCAGCTACTTGGGAGGCTGAAGTGCGAGGTTCACCTGAGCCCAGGAGGTCAAGGCTGCGGTGAGCCACTGCACTCCAGCTGGAATTACAGACGTGAGCCACCGTGCCCAGCTCATTTTAACTTTAGAATCTTCCTTTCTCCTTACCAGGTACAGAAGAAAACATGGAGTTGAAATTGTTCTGCTAGGTTCTTTTTTAGTTCAGAGAATAGACCTAAAAATAAATGACTGACGTTCTTTCTCCTTTTTCTTCTTTGTACAGGATTCCCCAGCTTTCCGTTGCACAGACAGTGAAGTGACAGTCCAGCCCAGCCCCTATCTGAGTTACCGGCTGCCCAAGGACTTTGTAGACCTGTCTACAGGGGAGGACGCTCACAAGCTAATAGACTTCCTGAAGCTGGTAAAGTCTGTGTGCCTTTAGTATGCTGGCCGTCTTTCCAAACAGACCTTCAGATTGGCTTTTATATAAGATTTCACTGGAATCCTGTATCACCTAGACTTTGATGCTTATGAATGGAGCTGAGTTACTGAGTTAGGTCATTTTCTAATTAAATATAAAATAGGAGCTGAAGGCATAATTTATTGATTAGAATGACAGAAAATGTTTTTATGCTGTATATGCCTTTTGAACATTTTTCAAAATACTTGTAACTGTGAAGAAAGTGTGTATATTGTTAGAGGGCTGCACGGAGAGCAAGTCTCTGCTCTGGTGGTGATTTTACTCAAGAGGGAATGTGAATATTTATACTTCTGTGTGGATTTCTGCATAGGAGTTTCTGTACGTATGGAAGAAAGAGAAGAAAATACTCAAGTACCTGAGGATAATTTGCTCAGGAGTCAAAGTGATAAACTAGTTTAATGAATTAAAGCATGGTTTTCCATGACCATTTTTAATCACATCTTTGCCAAGACCTCTAGAAAATTATACCTGCTGAGCAGATATCCCAAGGAGCATGTGCTATTTTAATGTCCCCTTGGTTTTCTTTGGCAGAAGAGAAATCAGCAAGAGGACGACTGATGAGCTTGCTGGAGCTGGAGAAGAGGAGGCCCCGCCCTGCCCCACTGCTCCGGGAGCTGCTCATCAGCCGCAGCTTCCTGCCAACCCTGATGCGGGCGGGCCGGGCAGTGTGGACATCAGCCGCTTTTTATATTCATGTACATCACCTGGGGAAAAAAACAGAGGGACTTTGCTACTTGTAAAAATAACATAATAAATAGATCTTAAGCATAGGAAACCATACTGTTCTGATAATAAAATGCTTTCTATGAAATATGTTGCTTTTCAACCTGGTCGCTTTATTTATTTATTTTTATTTTTATTTTTTGAGACAGTCCCGCTGTGTCGCCCAGGATGGAGTGCACTGGTTCAATCTCAGCTCACTGCAACCTCTACCTCCTGGTTCAAGCGATTCTGCTGCCTCAGCCTCCCAAGTAGCTGGGATTACAGGTGCACACCACCACACCCAGCTAATTTTTGTATTTTTAGTAGAGGCAGGGCTTCACCGTGTTGGCCAGGCTGGTCTGGAACTCCTGATCCTCAAGTGATCTGCCCACCTCAGCCTCCCAAAGTGGTGGGATTATAGGTGTGAGCCACCACGCCCAGCCTGTTTTATTTAGGGACAGAGTCTTGTTCTGTTGCCCAGGCTGGAGTGCAGTGGCACAATCACAGCTCACTGCAGCCTCAATCTCCTGGACTCAGGCAATCCTGCCTCAGCCCCCTGAGTAACTGGGACTACTGGTGCACACCACCACGCCCAGCTGATTTTTATATTTTTTTTTGTAGAGATGGGGTTTTGCCACGTGGCCTTTCTAAAAGGCCACCATGTTTAAGTGATGATATCAATTGTGCCTAATTTACCGAGGCTTTATGATGTGCCAGACATTCTACTAAGAGCTCTTTCTGTATTAGTTGACATCACCAAGCAATTTGAAGGATACAGACATGACAATTTCCCAGGGTAACTGCCCGACGTGGTATCCAGTGGTAATCTTCGTCCTCAGTACTTTATCTTTGTATTCAGTACGTCAGATGCCCTTTTTTTTTTTCTTTTTTTTAAGTAGTAGAGATGGGGTTTCCCTGTGTTGCCCAGACTGATCTCAAACTCCTGGCCTTAAGTGATCCTCCTGCCTCAGCCTTCCAAACTGCTGGGATTACAGGTGTTGTTTAATGTACAGGTGCTTCAAAAATACTTTGTTTTTTAAAACTGCTTATAGGTGCCTACCCACCTATGATGGATTTAGTATTAAGGATTGATTTTAAGTTTAGCTCTGGAAGCTGGCTTTGTCAAGATGGCATTTTACCAAGCCAAAGAAAATGTAAATATATTTGATACCAATTGAAAACATTCAAACTAGGCTGGGTGCGGTGGCTCACGCCTGTAATCCCAGCACTTTGGGAGCCTGAGATGGGTGGATCACCTAAGGTCAGGAGTTCGAGACCAGCCTCACCAATATGGTGAAATGCCATCTCTACTAAAAATACAAAAATTAGCTGGGCGTGGTGGTGGGTGCCTGTAGTCCCAGCTACTTGGGAGGCTGAGGCAGGAGAATCGCTTGAACCTGGGAGGCGGAGGTTGCAGTGAGCTGAGACTGCACCACTGCACTCCAGCCTGGGCGACAGAGCGAGCCTCTATCCTCCACCAAAAAAGAAAACTATATTCAGACTATATAAAAAGACCCAGCAAAATTTGGCAGAGAGTTCATAAACTGTACAATTCTTATTACATTTTTTTACACATTTTCCTGGAGAAACTGGACTTCAACTCTCAGGTCATTTCTAAAACGTGATTTTTGTACATTGTTTACTTAGTGTATTTAATTTTAGTTGATTTTCCTGATGTTAATATCAAATGTAGGATACTATGAAGGAAATATTCTCCTAAAGCCCAATATAATTTATGCCTGCCTAAAAATTAACTTCTGTTTTGTTTTAAGACAGAGTCTCACTCTGTCTCCCAGGCTGGAGTACAGTGGCACGATCTTGGCTCACTGCAGCCTCCGCCTCTTGGGTTCAAGTGATTCTCCTGCCTCAGCCTCCTGGGTAGCTGAGATTACAGGTGTGCACCACCACACCTGGCTAATTTTTGTATTTTTAGTAGAGATGAGGTTTCACTATGTAAGTCAGGCTGATCTGAAACTCCTGGCCTCAAGAGATCCACCCACCTCGGCCTCCCAAATTGCTAGGATTACAGGCATGAGCCACAGCGCCCAGCTCAAGTTTTGAATCGTCCTTTTATTTTACTGGCATTTGTTCGTTCTTTGAGGCACCTCAGGCTTGCGCTTGAATTCAGCAAATGGAAACCTGTGTGCTTCCTCAGCGTGCCCCTGCAGTCCTCCCTTCTGAAGAGAAGACACTGCCGCTGTTGCCTTTGAAGGGCTGGAATAAATACATGCTTTGTCCTGCAGGCAGTGTCATGTCCCGTGGGCCTCCTGGAGACAGCTTTGCCAGTTTTGTTTTCGCGAGTTTCATTTGATTTGCATTTTCTGAGTTCGTAAGGTTTTCTCTTCCCAGCCTTTTCTCTTTTTGATGATTGAGGATCATCAAAAAACAAACAGAAACCTTATGTGACAGCTTTTTGACTCAGTTTGTTTCCTGCAAAGTGGAAGAGGAGTTTTCTGCAGTCTGTTAAGTGAGATAACTCATAAACCTGTAGTGTAGTGCACATCACAGGCCACAGACAAATGGTAGCTATGGTCACTCTGCATGGCAGACCTCTGTACAGTATATAAAGGCACATTCTTTTTAACAGTCAAGAAAATATATATATATATTTATATATATGTTTATATTTATATATTTATATTTATTTTTTATATATATATATATATATATTTTTTTTTTTTTTTTTCAGTAGAGATGGGGTTTCGTCGTGTTGGCCATGGCTGGTCTCGAACTCCTAACCTCAGGTGATCCATCCACCTTGGCCTCCCAAAGTGCTGGGATTACAGGCGTGAGCCACCACACCCAGTCCCTTCTTTTCCTTTTTACCAGATGACAAAACTGCTCCCCAGAGATGTTGACTTTTCCAAAACCTTCACTGTAGCAGGATCTAAACATTGTTTTATTCACATGTCCTTGGCTCATGCTAAGGAAAGAATAAATCACAGTAAACTTACCACTCACACACAGTGCAGGTATGTATACACCTTAGAAAGATAAGGTCGAGCACGGCGGCTTACGCCTGTAATCCCAGCACTTGGAGAGGCGAAGGCAGGCAGATCACAAGGTCAGGAGATCGAGACCATCCTGGCCAACATGGCAAAACCCTGTCTCTACTGAAATACAAAAAATTAACCAGGCACGGTGGTGCATGTGTGTAGTCCCAGCTACTCGGGAGGCTGAGGCAGGCGAATTGCTTGAACCCAGGAGACAGAGGTTGCAGTGAGCTGAGATCACACCACTGCGCCCAGCCTGGCGACAGACCGAGACTCTGTCTCAAAAAAAAAAAAAAAAAAGTGCTTGAGGACTAGGCCGTGCGTGGTGGCTCATGCCTGTAATCCCAGCACTGTGGGAGACCGTGGTGGGTAGTAGATTGCTTGAGGTCAGGAGTTCAAGACCAGCCTGGCAAACATGGTGAAACCCCATCTCTACCAAAAATACAAAAAATTAGCCAGGTGTGGTGGTGTACACCTGTAATCCCCACTATTTGGGAGGCTGAGGCAGGAGAATCACTTGAACCTGGGAGGCAGAGGTTGCAGTGAGCCAAGATTGTGCCCCTGAACTGAAAGAGCAAGATTCCGTCTCAATTAAAAAAAAAAAAAAAAAAAGATGATTGAGGAACAGAAATCTAAGACATTGTAACAAAAATGTAGTGAAAAAAATAGCTAAAAGTTATGGGGTTAGGCAATAAGCCTGGCATAAGTGACCTAAAGAGAGAACGCATTCAGATGTGTCTTTTTTTTTTTTTAATCAAGAAAACCAAAATAAAATGATACTGGCAACATAGTAAGACCCTGACTCTAAAAAACATCCTTTTTCAAAGGACAAATTAGCCAGACATAGTGGTGCATGCCTGTAGCCCTAACTACACAGGAGGCTGAGGCAGGAGGATCACTTGAGCCCAGGAGTTCAAGGCTGCAGGGAGCTATGATCTCACCACTGCACCCCTGACCTCCAAAAAATAAATAAATAAAAAGGAAAGAAAGGAAGAGGCCTGGTGTGGTGGTTCACGCCTATAATCCCAGCACTTTGGGAGGCCAAGGTGGGTGGATCACCTGAGGTCAGGAGTTTGAGACTAGCCTGGCCAACATGGTGAAACTCTGCCTCTACTAAAAATACAAAAAATTAGCCAGGCATGTTGGTGCACGCCTGTAATCCCAGCTACTCAGGTGACTGAGGCAGGAGAATTGCTTGAACTTGCGGGATAGAGGTTGCAGTGAGCTGAGCTCACACCACTGCACTCCAGCCTGGGCAACAGGCGCACAGCCAGGCTGAAGCCCCAGTGTTCTCCAAACTGTCACCCTAGACTCACAATATGTACTAGATAAATTGCAGGTCGCCTTTTTTTTCTTCCTTCCAGCTGAGTTCATTCCCCCACTTTCCCTCCGTTTTCTTCTCCTAAGAAGTCATTTTGTTCAGCCACAGTTTATAAGCAGGGCTCATTGTTTAGGTCTGAGGAACAGGACAGGGTTGTACTAAGCGCTTAGGCAATGATTCTTATCTGGGAAGGGCTGACAGCTTATTCTTTAATGTCTACAAATTGCTTTGAAGATGAAAAGGGCTACAAAAATGTCAAGTAATGTTATTGCTTTTAGGAACATTTGTTTTCCATCTTGTAAAAGGCATATATCTCAGGCCAATGAAAGCCCAAGCTTCCAAACCAGACTGAGTTCCTCTCACTTACAAAAGAAGCATAACCTCCTCTGCATGTATTGGTAGAGCTGAGAGCACTGGGATTATTTCCTTACCAAAAAAAAAAAAAAAAAAGTCACCAAAGAAAGAAGATACCAGGAGGCCGGGCACAGTGACTCACACCTGTTATCCCAGCACTTTGGGAAGCCAAGGCAAGTGGATCATGAGGTCAGGAGATCAAGACCATCCTGGCCAACATGGTGAAACCTCGTCTCTACTAAAAATACAAAAATTAGCTGGGCATGGTGGTGCATGCCTGTAATCCCAGCTACTTGGGACCCTGAGGTAGGAGAATCACCTGAAACAGGGAGTCGGAGGTTGCAGTGAGCCCAGATTGGACCACTGCATTCCAGCCTGGCGACAGAGTGAAATTCCGTCTAAAAAAAGAAAGAGGACACCAGGAGCTGGGCACAATGGCTCAA